TGTCAGGGGACAAACTTTTTGTACACCATGCAACCTCCATGCAGTTTTTTTTTTTTTTTTTTTTACATTCACATTTACTTTTGGTTTTGATCTAACAAAACTCATGTTGGTTATTTTAATTGCAATGAGCATACCAACAGTGTAATCTAATAATTCCATGGAATTTTTTTTTAGCTTTACACCACTTGCAACTTCTCTTGCAACTTTTTGCAACTTTTGCTATTTTGAAATGCAACTTTCTCTGAGGACAGGTGTACCGCATCTGTATCCTGGTCTGTGGGGACAAGTGTTTTGCGATCTGCCCGTTGCATGGGTGGCAAACGTTGTTAAGTTGTCCTATTTCTGTCTTTGTGTTCCATTGACGTGAAAGCATGACCTGCATGTGACTTGTCTCTGTGCACCTGTTGACTGGTACATCGGTAGCCTTCTGTGTGACAGCTGCTTTGTTTCGCGAAATGTATGAGCTTCTGAGATAACTGGGAGGAATGTACAGGTTATTTTGGAATATTTAAAAAAATAGACTTGTGGGCCTAAAACTTCTAATTCATCTCTCTATCTAAATTTTGATTTATAAGGATTTTGATCAAATACTGTCCAAAATATTGAGAACAGTTAGCCGCCAAAATTGGTAAAAGTTGAATTTACTCATGTGTATGGACATGAATATTCAAATGAACGGAACGCCTTACTCTTTTATTTTCGACACCCGATATTTTGATTTTGACGCCAATTATCTGTCATTACTGGCTACAAAATAGAAAGTTGCTCTCTTTGGCACATAAAGATAACTTTGCACTTTGCATACTACGTTTGTCATTTCTCCATGGAGTGGATGGCCCTGGTATGAATCCACAATGAGGTGATCTGAACTTGGTTTGTTTTAGGGAGTTTTTAAGGCTCCCCACGCATTTGGCTTGGTCCTATTGGTGATGGACATAAAACATGAAGGCCCCTCCTCATAAGTAGCCTTACAGTGTTGATAGGGGGCATTTAATCTATACTGCGACCAATGCCATTTCTGTTGTCTTTCTTTAGTAGGCTTTAAAAAATTACACAACGTAAGAAGTTGAGACTATGAGAAGGTTTTCCCACAAAAATTCTGAAATGAAAAGATATAGTTATGTGTCCTACTCCTTCAAGTTTAAAAATGTTATTGGTAGATTTTTGTGTCAGTCTTGTTTGATATGCTCCTTGAGTCATGACATGGGCAACCCTGGTCCTGTAGTCTTGCAAAAATGTTTTAAAATATGGGTACAGTCCCTGAAATGATGTCTGACTAGATTTTGTCTGTCCCATAGATTTGCCTGATGCTACGAGAATATGTGGTTGCACTTTGATGCTAGATGGGCAGGGGGCAGAAGTATAGATAGTTACATGAGTTGGTTGGTAGTTTTTCTCTGGGGTCAAATACAGTGGAGTCTGCTGAAACTGAAATCTGTGGGGCAGCCGGATTTTTTTTCATGGGGGGGGGGGGGGGGGGGGGGTGTTAGCCAGGTTTTCGGGTTTTAGAGAGGTTGCACAAAGAGAAGAAAAAAATCACAGATTATATTTTATTTCAGTTTTCCACCATTTTCGGTTCAACAGCACTCTTTTCAAATTAATGGTGACTCCACTGTATATCTCTTTTTAAAAATTCCTTTTCAGATCCCAAGAAGAAGTCTCTGCTGGACACCCTGATCTGGTTCCACTTCAAGGAAGGTTTCTCCAATGCTGTTCGGCGAAATGTCAAAGTGCAAGATTTGTTATGACCATGTATGATCCGAACTTTATTTTGTTGGAAATGGCAACTGTTGGTTGTTAATGGCAACAGCTGCAATACTTTCAGTTGTGTACATGATTCTGTAAGATGAGGATGTATGATGTATTAAGCAACAGTGATTAAGAAGAAAGACTTTCCTTGTGAATACTAGAGCTGGGCCGATACTATGATATCGAGTCGATACTGAGCAATTTTGCTTAGGTATCGAGTCGATTCTGAGTACTCGTACAGAACTTGAATAAAAAAAAAAAAGAACAATGCATGCATCCTGGCTTTAGTTTGTCATACACTCATACCAGTCATAGTATAATATGGCAACACTGTAACACAAGTGTCATTCAATGTAAATTATGTTTAATTCAACAAAGGTCAAATGAAAATGGATGAGATGACTGACTAGAAAAAAGGCTCTAACCAAAAATGCAACAATTACAAAAAACAGCATCAACTAAGAACTTTAGCATTTAAAATAATTGAAAAAGGTAGTGAGTAGAAAAAAGAAGAAAAGAAAAGAGAGAGAGAGACGGACAGACAGACAGACAGACAGAGAAGAATGAACAATCTTTAACAACATGCAATTTGCTTTAATTATAATGAACAACAAAAAAGTGTGTGAAACAAAATAATGTCAAATACATGTACATGTACACTTAAACTTAAACCTAAAACAAAAGCCCAAATGTGTCAAATATTAAGACACACGTACAAAATACATGCATTACGTGTTGTTTTGAGATGACCGTGCGACAGCCCAATAACAGCTATATTATGGCACCTTAAAAACAAGACAGTAGACAGAATTTACATATGTATGTAGGAAAGAAGTACATGTAGAATCTCGATGGTGCCCTCCAACCTTCCGCTTAACATATGTAAAACAACTGCAACATGTCTGTTAGACACAGAAAAAGACAGACAGAGAACAATGAACAATCTTTAGTTCACTTAATTGAAAAACGTGCAGTTTGCTTTAAATGATGAACAACAAAAAAGTGTTTGGTTAAAGAAAAAAATGTCTAAAGCATTAAACCTAAAAGCTTAATTTAATCTGTGAACTTAAGACACTTTAATACATATATGTAAAACAAAATGCAAAATGTCTGTGAATGTTAGACAGACACAGAAAAAGACAGACAGACAGCGAGCAATGAACACTCTTTAGTTTACTTAATTGAACAGCATGCAGTTTGCCGAACAACAAAAAAGTGGTGAAACGAAATAATGTCCAATACATTAAACCCAACAGATTAATGTAATGTGTCAGATCCTAAGATACACGTTAGTATATTACATAATTTATGTTAAACAGATACAGTTGTCTGTTAGTGTTAGAAAAAAATGTTTTGTGTGGACCACTCAAACTTTGGAATAAGAAACAAAGTAGACATGATTGAAATCTATGCCAGGCTGGCTTAAGCACACACACATATGTAGATGCAAGTGGGATTTACAGTTGAAACCATATATAACAGGTCCGGTAATAACAGAGATCCGGTTATAGCACGGATTTTTAAAATCCCCGTTTTTTCTTACTCTTTGTCTCTTTTAAAAGTTATCGGCAAAACAAGGCCTCATCAGAGCCCAACCGGTTATAGCAGGGACAAACGCTCGTTAACAATGTGTAAAAAGTAAGAGAGAGAGAGAGAGAGAAGGGGGGAAGGGGTAACGCAGTGATGGAGCAAGCCCACACTGGCCATGCCACTGCAAGCACACACAGCGTGTGAAGCGAGAGAGGGCTGCGGTGTGCTGTAGACCTCGATCTAGCCCGAAACCTAGCAACACGCAGGCGTAATGTGTCACCAACGATGTCAAGCCTTTCAATTGACAAAAAATTCGAAATAATCAAGGCTGTTGACAAAAAGCAAGCTCCACTGGCAGAGATTTGTCGTCAGTTCGACATTTCACAAGGGTCGATTCACATCATTATAAAGGATAGAGAGAAGATAGTGGCAGCATACTCCAATGGAAAGTTTGCTCTGGATCAAAAGATGAGACTACCCGATGAAGATGCTGTGGACCATTCTCTTCTGATGTGGTTTAAAGAGGCAAGGAGAAAGTTGGTGCCAAAACCCCTGTTAGTGGGTACTTGTGGCAAGGGAAACTACCCATGAATAATATGTGCAGCTGGATCAGTACACAAATGCTTACTTTCCTTGCATTTCTGATTTAACAGGGATCGGATATAACAGGACATTTTCTCTACTCCCACCATCCCTGTTATATCAGGTTTCCACTGTAGTTGTTTCTCAAGCATTTGTTCAAAAAGAGCAGATTGTTTACATTTTTAGGTTTGAGACAGGTGCGCCTTTGAGAGATAAGCTCCCCAGCAGTGGAAAATAATCTCTCTGAAGAGACAGAAGCTGCGGGCACTCCAACTCCAAGGTGTCGACGTGCAAGTTTGTGCAGCTGGGGGTAAACAGCTGTCCGTTGACTCCACCACAGAAGAGGGTCTTCTGTACGTTTCAACAGAGGTTCTTTCAAGTAGTTGGTGAGTTCAACCTTGGCATTCACCTGGGGTGTTCTGGCATGTGCTAGAGTTTCAACTCTTCTGTCGAAGGAGTCCCAAAGGGAACCAGGTATCAGTGGCTCTGTTTCTGCTGCAGAAGTGGTGGCAGTGACTTGATCTGTTGAGTACCTGAAGCTCGGCAACAAGACGTTGATGGATCACTTGGTAAGCAGTATCAGAAGAAAATGGTACCTTTTTTATTCTTGGATCCAGAACACAAGAACTCGCAACATAGAAGCTGCTCTCATGGTTCCCAAAGTACTTTCTCATTTGCTTCAAAAGTTCATCGGCAAGCAGAAAAGGACCGGCTCCAGTAGACTCTGAGATTAAGATCTCTTGCACAGATCTGACAAGTTGCAACACCAAACACAGAGGGATACAGTGGAAACCTGATATAACAGGGATGGTGGGAGTAGAGAAAATGTCCTGTTATATCCGATCCCTGTTAAATCAGAAATGCAAAGGAAAGTAAGCATTTGTGGACTAATCCAGCTGTACTTATTCATGGGTAGTTTCCCTTGCCACAAGTACCCACGAACAGGGGTTTTGGCCCCAATTTTCATTTTTGTCCTTGCCTCCTTAAACCACATCAGAAGAGCTTGGTCCACGACATCTGCATCTGGTAGTCTCATCTTCTTTCGATCCAGAGCAAACTTTTCATTAGAGTATGCTGCCACTATCTTCTCTCTATCCTTGATAATGGTGTGAATCGAACCTTGTGGAATATCGAACTGACGACAAATCTCTGCCAGTGGAGCTTGTTTTTTGTCAACAGCCTGGATTTTTTCGTATTTTTGTCAATTGAAAGGCATTTTCTCTAGCGCTTGACATCGTTGGTGACACATTATGCGTGCGTGTTGCTAGGTTTCAGGCGAGATCGAGGTCTGCAGCACACCGCAGCCCTCTCTCGCTTCACACGCTGCGTGTGCTTGCAGTGGCATGGCTTGCGTGGGCTTGCTCCATCACTGCGTTACTCTCTCTCTCTCTTTCTCTCTCTCTCTCTCTCTCTCTCTCTCTCTCTCTCTCTCTCTCTCTCCCTCTCTCTCTCTCTCTCTCTCTCTCTCTCTGTGTGTCTCTGTCTCTCTCCCTCTGTCTCTCTCCCTCTCTCTTACTTTTTACTCATTGTTAACGAGCCTTTATCCCTGCTATAACCGGTTGGGCTCCGATGAGGCCCTGAGTGTTATTGCCGATAACTTTTAAAAGAGACAAAGAGTAGGAAAAAACGGGGATTTTAAAAATCCCTGTTATTACCGGATCCCTGTTATTACCAGGCCTGTTATATATGGTTTCCACTGTACTTGTCTCCGGACAGTTCTTCGGTCGCTTGCAAGAAAGGCTGAAGCACCTGGGAAGAAAGAAAAAAACAATTGATTATGGAGTATGCATTTTAATGTAGAGCAACAGCAACAACAGCAACATTATAAACATCATCATCACCACCGCCGCCATCATCACCACCACCACCACCACCACCACCATCATCATCATCATCATCATCATCATCATCATCAGCTTCATCCTCCTCCTCCTCATCCTCATCATCATCATATATATCATCACCATCACTATCATCGCACACACACTCACGTGCGCACACAAGCACATAGACACCAGTGGTAGCAGATCAACATACATGTACCTTTAACTTAAAAGTTAAAGATGGATTCAATCACTTTCAGCTCATATTCTCAGATGCACATCGCTCCTTTGTTCAGAAGACTGAGGACTGTGTGCACATAACGGTGGATGGTGACAAATCCCTGCAGCATGGTGTAGGTGGAGGTTGAATTCCATCTCGTCTCGCATTCTTGTTTGAGTTTGAGTTTCTTTGGTTCTTCCTCGCCTCCCTCTTGCTGCAACTGCACCAGTCTGTCGGTAGCTTTCACACTCTTGTGAAAGAATCTAGCGATCTCTTTCACCTTCTTAATAATGCCCTTTAGTGCCTCTGTTGCATCCAAAGCATGCGTTACAACAAGGTGTAAGCAGTGCGCTGTACACGGAACATGTCGCCAACCTAGTTTCTTCAACTTCAATGCCGCCGCAATGTTGGCTGCATTGTCAGAAAGAACGACCCTGATCTTTTCATTAATGTACCAATCGTTAACAATGTTGCAGCTATGACATCGCCCGTATGATCCCCTATAATCACACGCGTTTCCAGCACCAATGATTCAAGTTGCCACAGTTGGTTCAAGAAATGGGCAGTTACCGTAATACATTATAGCCGTGTGTGGCCCTTGACGTCCAGATGTCGGTCGTTATGCTGACGTCTGAAACAGTTGCCAGTTCTGCTTTCACCTGCTCACGCTCAGTTCTACATCGTTCAGGGAGAAGGGTCCGAGTTATGTGTTTTCGACTGGGGAGGTCATATCTGGAATCCAGGCCTTTAATGAGTCTCCTGAATCCATCATCCTCAACTATGGACATGGGTTGCAAGTCCAGTGCTAATACCAAAGAGTCTACATAACAAGAAGGGCCACTTCTCTCTTTGAGCCAATTAAAAAAGTGTCCTCAAAATTCGGTGGCGCCCTCTTCACAAAAGCGCACCTTTTGCAAACAGAGTTAACCAACTTGAGTTTAAAAAATCAAAGTGAAACTAGCAAGTTTTTAAATGAATTTCGGAAGAACGCTTTTTTAAAATGGTTACGCTGACAAAAACATCTTCCAGAGAAACGGGTGATTGTTTTCTTCGTTTAATTTGACTTTAGAATGAAAGGCTAGAGGTCATTAAACTTTTAAAAAACAAACTCCACG